CGTTTTCAGGAACTTGCTGTTACTTCGGACGCAAAATTACTGGCTGAGGAGCAGTTACGGAAACGTGTGCAAAGTGACGAGGCAGAGATTGCCGAGCAGCGCAGAATTATTGCACTGTTACGCTCTGAACTTAAGACAGTGGTAGCTGTTTAAAATTAAATTGAAAATTCCATAAAAGGAAGTCAGATTTGGTGTTCGGGCATGGGAAAAGAGATTGGCTGACATCGGACGGACGGAAACCCCGCGGGGGTTTGGGTGCTTGGGGTATTTTGCTGAAAGCATTTGCGCGTGAAATTTGACGTAATTCCGCACCCGGAGCAGCTGGAGTGCTGAAATTTTCTGGACGTGGTCCAGGATCGTGTCTGGGCAAACGTACGTGGATACGGCGTCCACGTCTCCCCTCACGTACGGACACGTGAAATTTGACTTAACTCCACAACCAAAGCATCTAGAGTGCTGAATTTTCTTTCAGGCCGGAACTATAATTTGTTCCTAGCAGCGCAAAAGCCAATCTTTTTGCAATTCTTTGCAGTGTTTGAAGCCCACTGTGAAAAATCCGTGGAAGCTTGTCTGTCTGAAGATATTTTTCTTGAAAAAACTTTATAGCGTGAAGAAATGGATGAAGCGATTATGAAGTACGAGCAGCAGTTGGACGAAAATCGCGTGGAATTGGAAGGAAAAATCGAAAGCAAAGATTCTGAAATTGCCGAACTTGTTGCTCTCATCGCAGAAATGAAGCAGCGGCTCGACGCTATCCAAATTTCCCTCACCGATGCTCGCGTTGTTGCCCTTCAGGTCCTCATTTTGTTTTTACCATCTCTTATTGGGTTTTTTTAGGAATTATCTGAGCGATGCGATTCAGAACCAACAACAGTCACTCGCCCGTAGAGTGACTATGTTGCCCTCTTCATGGGGATTTTGGTGCGCAAGTAGTCTGGCCGATCAGCGAATTCTCGAGCTAAATGTGTTTTGAAAGCTGCATTTTCGTCCTTTAGGAATGAAAAATTGCGGCCGATAGAGGGCCGAATTTTAGCCTCAAAAGAAATGGACGATCCAAAAAAAATCAAAATGTGGGACGACCGAAATCAGGAAATATTAAAACGAAGGGTGGGATAAGATTGTTAAATACGCCGAGCCGTAAGCTAGGGCGCTAAATATGTCGAACCATAAGCTCTAAAACAAGCGGGCAGTCTGAAGCATGAAAAATGTGGAACGGTCAAAGTCCGAAAATTTTAACCTAGGGCAGGATTAGGTTAATAAATTATGATGGAAAAGATAGTAGGACTGTTTATGTGGCACAAAGCCACACGATATGTTGAAAGGTCATGTGAAGAGGAATATGGTAAATGGTAAATATGGTAAATGGCAAATAAATGAAGGGAAAAGGAATATGGTTTCATTTCTTAGCTGTAAACACAGACAGTAGAAGGTGCGGGAATCATCAATGCAGCCCCATGTTCAGCGAGCTAGCCGCATTAAAATTAGAATAATCGGTTAGCAGTTGCGAAGGTAACTTACAAAGTTCCATGCGCTCTCTCCTGATAGTGAATTAGCGCTCGGGAAATGGTACGGTACTGAATTAGTAGTGCTGACCAAATCTGCTGTGTAACTAACAGTTATGGAAACTAGCGTTAATTGGACTTGCAGGTGCGAAATATCCGCAGCGAACTGGAAAATGCGAGTAGCGAAATCCGTGATTTACATTTTCTGTTGGCAGTTGTCCAAAATCGGTGCCTCGCTCTGAAACATGAAAATGTGCATCAGAAAGAACGGATCGAAAGTCTCGAAAAGATTGTAAGAAAACGCTTTTTTTGAAAAAAAAAAAAAAAAACTTTTTTGGGTCTCCTTGCAGAGCTCTTATTATATCCTGTTGTTCATTGTCTGATTCTCAAACTGCAGCTCTGTCATTCCCTTATTACTTATCCTGATTTTTTGCAGATTGCTGTGAGTAATGCTCGATCTAATGCTTTGATGGCATCGCTGGAAGAGCAGAACAAAAAGGTTGGAGCAGCACTGCTGCTTCTTGGCTTTCTAGGGTTATTAAAATAATAATTAGATGTTAGGATTAAGATATCTAATTAAGATATTAAGATCGGACGTCAAGATTAAGATAATCTAGATGTTAAGATTAAGATATCTAATTAAGATATTAGGATTGGATATCAAGATTAAGACAATACTTAATTTTAACATCTTATAAAGCATATACTTACTATTAACATTCATTACACGATTTAATCTTAACATCCACTAATTCTAATTACCACAGTCGTCATACTGACAAGGTCCAATTGTAGCAGTGGCAAGAAGTGTATACGATTTAATGGACCGAAACATTTCTTACCATTAAAATAATTTTCATAATTTACAAATTTTGTAATTCTTATCTCTTACCTCTTTCTCTGTCTGTCTCTTCTTATTCGTTTTTAATATACCTTCTTATACTTTCTTAATTTTCCTGCCAAAAATTTAAGTGTCGGTACACGAGAACCACGCATAAATGGAGCCTGAATTTAAAACCTTTAAGTTGTATTGGGATGGGGAATATTCTCCTAAAATCTCAACTTTCCAAATTTTCTGGTTCCTAAGTTAGCAAGTTTCCTGCCAAAACTTTCACAGGGCTGCACGTGACCGGGGAGCATACCTGGGGGCTGGGTTTGAAATCTTTAAGTTGTTCATGTGCTTGGAATATTTCCTGAAAACTTAGCCTCCCAACTTTGCTAGTTCCCGAGTTAGCCATTTTCCCGCCAGAAAATTCACGGGGCCATCTAATCCATCTTTTCTCTAGCATACGGAAACAATGACAGCGAAGCAGGCGGATTTGCAAGAAAAACAGCTGATGCTTTATGATGCCTGGGATCGACTTCGTATGAGTACTGATGCGAACACATGCCTACAGGAAGAAATGCGGCAACGTGATGGTTTGTGATTGAAAAATCACTGGAATTTCACTGCCGGCAATGCATTTCAACGTTTATTTTGTACAGCATTTTCACCATGGGGGAGGGGACGGGGAGGGAGGGGGCGGGAGGGGAGAAGTGGAAAAAAATGAATAGCTACGCTTGGCTTATGAGAACATTCCAGTAACATCACTAACATGGGATTCCCGCACTGACTGTTTTCTTTGAAAGCGGGGAATTGTAAATTACGGTCATCTGAAGGCCGAATCGTAATCTCAAAACAACTGAACGGTCCAAAGAAATCAAAATGTGGGACAGTCGGATTCAGGAAAGTTAAAACGAAGGGTGGGATAAGTTTGTTCAAAATAATTTGCGGCTGCTGGTAGGCCGAGCCGTAATCTCTGAAACAAACGGGAGGTCCGAAGCACGTAAGATGTGGATCGGCCACAGTTCGGAAACTATAACCTAGGGGTGGGGGTAACTTAATAAGTTATGATGGAAAAGATAGTAGGATTGTACTACAAGTGGCAAATAAAATAACATGGCTTTCAAAATTGGCTTGGTTCAGATGAGGAAATCAAGCATTTGATACAGTGGGAGAGCCTTATATATGTGTGTAACAACTGGCGCAAATTTCAGTGGCCTATCAATTGCTGGAACAACGCCTTGCAGCTGCTGAGGAGAGATGTTCGACTATGTCGATGCGTTTTTCGATCAGTAGCCTGATGGACAGCAGGCCGGTTCTCGATGAGACATTTAAAACAAATGGCCGTTTTCCGGATGCATCAACAGGCAAGTAAAGTACCCATTGGCAGATGCAGGGGGCAAGGGAGGGACCCCTTTCGATCCCCCCTGTCGCCCTCCCCTCCTTCCGGTTGTCGATACAGTTTAGGGTTGACTG